ATGACTCCCAACACGTGTTATGGGTTATAGATGTACTGTACCATTACACACCTGCCAGTTCGGGCACTTGATATTAATAGATGCTAGATACACATGGGTGGGGAGTATTCTGTTCACTAGGCCCCATTCTCCAATCAGGATTCCTGAACTCTACCCATCACAGAGATGAGGGCCATCTAAAAGCTAATGGGAAAATTCCATTTTTTCCCAGGAACTTTCTGAAGACTCCTTATATGTCATTGGACTTTGAATGCATGTTATGTGGTGTATAAGACGATTTGATTTCATAACGTTGTATACCTCTGGTTTTAAGAAAAACTCACCATCATTGTTCGCTCACCCTGTGGACTTGGGTTTGTTATGAGTAAAGGTGTAGCTGGGATATGGAAGGTACTGGCATGTGCCCTGGGTACTACTGTCTGCAGGCACCAAGGAGCAGTTTCTAATCACTATCGCACTTACCATCGCGCCGCCAGCTGTGAGAGATCATTTAGTAATTTAAAACTAATTGCCATGGGCGCTAATTTCCATAGCTATGACTCTGATATCAGTCCATTGTTATTAATGTCACATTTTTACTTGCTCTTTATTTTCTCAGACATCTGAATTCCGGTGCTGTTGATTCCATAAAGGCCATTTAGAGGTAGAGTCGCTATGTATCAAAAGCAGTTGTTTAAATAAGCATTCGGTCTCACAGCTCTGCTCTTGCTACTTTTCAGAGCAGCAGTTGGGAGAGCCGCTCCACCATTGGCCACGGCTTTTCTTGTTACACTTTCTTTGTTTTCTCGAGCAAAGTAAAGACATTCTCACAACAGCCACTACCATGCAACCCCCCCCCCCCCCTGTTTCCTCAGTACAAGGATCAACAAAGCCCAAGTCTCCATCATGGAACAGAGCAAAGTTAACACATTATTTCCTTTACATACATTAGCCAGGAGGGGATTCTTCTTTTAAACACTATCAGTCAAAGAAGAAGGAAAAAATCACATTTCCTCACTACTGTACTGATCTGGCCATTAGCAGACTAAGCAAGACTTAAGATAATTGAAAGTGTAATGTTCAGAAAGCACAGATGCAATTTCAAAGGTAATTTTGTCCTTCCCATTCTTACACTGAGACTAGAAAAACCTAAACCCATTGTTCTAAGATAAAAGGGGCAGAAACTGCAGGCTGATGACAAATTATATGTAAAAATTTCATTTTTAGTTCACATCCTGAAAAGCAAATAAACAAAACTCCCATGGAGGGGAGGAGGGGAAGGTTCTCCAGGAGACTGTGAGAGGTGAAGATATTTGCTTTACTTAAGGTTTTCAAAATGAAAGGCACAGGGCAAAGAAAGGGGGTCAGGAGAAACAAAGTGTGGCCTAAAACGGAGCAGCTCTTAAACCTGAAAATAAAATTACACTGAAAAACTTCAAATTAAAAAAAAAGATATTCTAAATACCTGAATGACACGTTGTGCTAGTAAACCCAGACTGAAAACCATCTCATACTGATTTCGAATCAGTGCACTTGACTACAGTAATGGAGCACAGTGACGTCTGCTTGGCTGTCATGACACGGGAGGGGGCTGAGTCGTCAGCATGAGCTTAGCACAAGGTCTGTCCAGTATCTGCTGTCTGTCCCTTGCAGTGAACCAGCACAACTATTGGTGGCACTCAATCTATTTGCACAGCAAGATGTCCACCTGCAATGACTTAACTGTCCCCAACTGATTCTGTTTTAAGCTGTTTCTAGATTCCAATTTAACAACCTTACCCTCAATTGTACATCGTAGAAATTCATTATGGGGTCCCAAATTCTAAGGAAATAGAGAGAGTAAGGCAAAACGCTCTTAAATTTTTCTTTCTTTTAGAGCAATAAATAAACCAAACAGAAACACGAACACGTCGTCTAAGAGTCCCTCTTCTTGATGATACCAACCTGAAAGCTTCACTCTGCCGCTGCCTGTCTCCATTTCAATTACGAGCCAGGGGAAGAGGAGAGGGGTTTCTGGTCCAGCGGTCATGCTCCACACGTTACGATTTTCTTGCTGTCCCCACCCCCCGCCCCGCCCCCAACCAAATAGCTCTATTATCAGCAGGAAAAATAGAAAGCAAGCTATCTCTATATTCTAATATTGTCCCCATCCAAAGCTTGGTATTGGAAAAGTTGCTTCTGAAAGAATTTTTTCACAAAATAATTCGGGTGGTACACCCTGAAACTCAGAGCAATGTCAGGGTTACTCTGACTTTTATTATGAAAAACTTAGTGAATTTACTTAATGAATGAACATTAATTGAAAAAATGTCTTTCTCAGTGTAGTCAGTCTTACTTCAGAGTAACTGAATTCAGTATGATATACTTTTACCCAAATAATCTGTTATTTTTACCCTACTTCCAAGAGTTCCATTAGTTAGTAATTCTTAACCAAACTGAAAAACGGACCCCATCCACTGTGCATGTTTTATAGCAAGATTTAGTTGTGTGCCCTGTGATTTCTATTGATGGTCATATTTCACTTGCTTCTGTGAACTGTGAATACGCTGATGGGTAGTCAGTTACTGTGATTGGTCCCACCTGGGAGTGCTCTGTATTACTCAACCAGGCAGAATGAAAATGTGAGCGGCCACTCAGCTGAACTGTTTGAAAATGATTTTAAAGCATTTTGAAATAGTGGTAATATTAAATCTCCTGGTTTTTTTAACTTCATGATTCTTGATTCATGACTAAACATTTTATCTAGCTATTCCATATAACACACACACACACACACACACACACACAAACAGAATACGTGGATCAGGAATAGCTCCTTCTGCATGTAAACCTTGTGTGTTAGCTATGTAAATAAGCAGGAAGAGCTTCAGGTCACATTAATATTTTAGGTACAAAACCAGCACTGAAGAAAAATAACTGGTAAGTGAAAAAAGACTTTATGTGTAAATTCAATCTGCATATTAATAACATGATAGACAACTAGTAATAGATATTCATAAAACTTACAGACTGTGTGCAGATAAATGGACCAAAATAACACAGAACCGAAGTCATGACTAATCCCAGTAATCAGTCTCCATTTGCATATAAAATAGATTGTAATTCCCTGGTCCCATTAATTTTTCTTCTTCTTTAGGCAAAAAAAAACATTACTAGTAATTTAAATATTCTAAGAATCAACATAGAAATCCCTTATAAGAATGCAAATTATTTAAATAGATGGCAATTGATATACATCCCAAAGAAGTGTTTTAGTTTTGTTGATTAAAAAAATACACACACACACACCCCGTATGTACTCATGTATAAGCTGAGTTTTCCAGCACATTTTAATGCAGTTTTTATGGTAAAATTAGGCGCCTCAGCTAATATTTGGGTCAGCTTATACTCGAGTACATATGGTATATGTTAAATGTACCAAAGAAACTATGTCAAAAATAAGACTTGCTCTGAAAATTTATATAAGTCCTGTACTCTAATATCAATAAATGCAAGACATTTGCAAACATTCCATAAGCTAATTCAACAACAACCAAGGGCAGTGTGGCTTGTAATATTCTCATTCAGTTCTTATAAAAGCACAGATCCTCAATGGGTTTGCTCTCCTCCCTGTAGCACTCCTCGCTAGTATCAGACGTGGAGGGTCACTGAAAAGTTTCAACTCAATTTGAGAAACTACTGCAGGGCCAACGTCCTGTCTGGGTGGGGTACGAGGAACAAAAAGAGGGATGGTCTTGGAAACCAGGCAATCGCATTTAGAGTCAGGTTGTCCCACGTTTTAGGGTCATCATATAAATGAAAAATAAGTCCTCAGAGTCATAAGGAGATTTAAGATACTATAATTACTATAATAAAATTCAATTCTCAATAAAGGATTGCAAGAAATTTGAGTTCAGAAACAATAATGTTTTGGGAAACTGAACCCGCAGGCACAAACTGCTGGAAAATGACATCCCAAACTAAATTGCAGAGATACCCCCACAAAAAAAAGACGTTCATTTGGTTTTATTGATGTGAAGGGGGCTAGTACATTTGGAGTTCATTCCACCAGGTCAAGCTTTCTATTCAGAGGTTCTGCAAAGATTGTGTAGCAGTGTGATACAAAAAAAGGCCTGATTTGTGGCAGACAGGGGACTGATTTTGCCACCAGAACAATGTACCTTGCTCATGCAGCCATCTCAGTGCGTTGGTTTTTTTGGCAATTAACAGCATGTCTCTCTTGCTCCATGCACCTGACTCACCTGACCTCACTCTGTAAAACTTCTTTTTGTTTCCACGAATGCAGAAGGCCATGAAAGGATAGCGATTTGAGGACATAGAAAGGTGAAAAATAAATGAGGGAGGTGCTGTCAGCCATCAAACAGATGAGTTTTAAAAATGTTTCCAAAAATGGAATTGCAGATTTGACAAATGTATTAAGTGTAATGGAGAGTATTTTGAAGGTGAAAGGTTGTTTTGTAAAAAAAAAAAAAAAAAGAAATATATAGTTTGGGGTGGGGGGATTCCAATTGTTTTGGGTACCCCTCATATTCTGATGAGAAATTTAAAGAACAATGGAAAGACTGTCTTTTGCAGATGAACGCCTCAGAGGATATGTCCTCAGACACCCTGTGATTAGAGAAGGATTAAAATGAAAACAAGCCCTTTCATTGGTGGAAAAGGCATCAACAAAATTGGGTCAGTAATTTCTACTTATGTATGTTTGATTAGTAATCATTAGACCCAAGGTAAGCTGAGACAAAAAATGTAAAGTACAGATTAGAAAGTATACATCAACTTATAGGTCACAGGGATCTAAGAGACCCAGAATACAGCATTTACTTCTTACCCCTTTCTCTTCGTTTAAAAACAGAATCAAAACACACAGGGATCTTTACATATCCAGCACACCATAGGAGCAAAAATGAAAAACAAAACAGAAAATCCCTTTTACTACTATTATTATTACTACAAAAGCCATTCTCCATAATGTCAGCATCACACGTGTGCACAGCATCAGTGGCACCTATGCCATTCACGTGTCAACCCAAAGGTCTGGTTCTGAGATGCACTGACCAAGTCTCAGGTGGCTGATCAAGTCTCTACACATTATTTTCCTGAAGTCTTTTCTGTGCCAAAGTCTGAAAAGAAGATAAGCAATAATTATTCCCAATAAAACTTAATTTTTAATAAAAGTATACAAAATTTAGCATTGTTGAATTGTGATTTTGAAAGTTTTTCTAAAAGATATAAACCTTGATATAAGTACTGTAACATTTTTAAACAAGAAAATATTGACAGAAAATATCTCTGAAACAAATATAATGTATCAAATTAAAACTAATTTAAAACCATGTGTGACTTCTACTAATGTCAAGCATGGCAAATACTAGGTTCATTTACAAACAACAAAGGAATGAGGTTAGAAGCAATTTAAAGTGCTCCCACACAGTCTGAAAATAAGTTTCCATTAATTGAATGAAAACTTTTGAGATCATAAAAATCTGTAATAAAAAAGTTTTAGGATCAAATGCAAGAGTATAATTATGTCTAGCAAAAACAAAAAGCTTTTAAGCATGATGGTAGTTAAACTCTTTGTGAGTGCATGAATCCTCTAGTAACAACATCAGGCAAGGTAATATGGTGAGGTCACATTTGAAAAATTTTTAAACTTGTTTGAAATTGAGCACTTTTAAAAATATACCTTGGTGTGTTGCAACTAACTCTCCATCCCACCACTTATCCATCAGTGCGTCATACTGTGGTGGCTTGTGTATTGCTATGATGCTGGAAGCTATGTCACTAATATTTCAAATGCCAGCAGGGTCACCCAAAGTGAACAGGTTTCAGCAAAGCTTCTAGATTAAGAACAGATAAGGAAGAAGGCCTCAATTCCCTACTTTAGAGGCAGGAGCTGCTGAAAACCTTATGCATAACTGCAAAACATTGTCACATACTGAGGGCCTACTAAGTGGCAGCAGGTCATTGTCAGAGATAGTGCCAGAGGATGGGCCCTCAGAGTCTAAGGACACTTGAAATGTGACTGAGGAGGAGCTGGTCTCTTAGAGTGGACTGGAACATGGTGAAGCAAGTTGCGTGAAGGCTGTGGGAGTGGAGCCTTCAGGATTTTCATTTGCTGATGGGCATAAGTCAAGGTAAGGAGAAAAAGCTGCAAAAATTGGAACTTGGGGTGTGTGAAATATGAATTTAGGAAAATTGGAGGTGGTCAAAAATGAAATGTAATGAATAAGGATTGATATCCTAGGCATTACTGAGCTGAAATGCACTGGCAATGGCCATTTGGAGTCAGAAAATCACATGACTTACTACACTGGAAATAACACAATCAAGAGGAATGGTGTGACATTCACCGCCCAAAAGAACACCGCAAAAATCAATCATGAAGTAGAATGCTGTCGGTGATAGGATTATATCTATTCCCAGTTCAAGGAAATCCAATCAATATGACTATTATTCAAATTTGGCAATCACAAAAGGTAGTGAAGAAGTAATTGAAGAATTCTACCAACAACTTCTGTCTGAAATTGATCAAACATGCAAACAGGATGCACTGATGATTACTGGTGACTGAAACGCAAGAGTCTGAAACAAAGAAGGAACGGTAGTTGGAACATATCGACTTGGTGATAGAAACTAAGCTAGAGCTCACATGAGAGAATTTTTCAACACCAACAACTTGTTCGTAGTAAATACCATTTTTGCAACACTAAAGGTGACTATACATGTGGCCTTCTCTAGATGGAATAAACAGAAATTAACTTGACTGCATCTGTGGGAAGACATGAGGGAGAAACTCCAAAATAGTGGCTAAAACCAGGCCAGAGGCTGACAGTGGAACAGACCATCAATTGCTCAAGCTGAAGAAAATTAAAACAAGTCCACTAGAGTCAGAATATGACCTTCAGTCAATCTCATCTGAATTCTGATAACCTCTTAAAACAGATTTATCACATTGAACGCTAATGACAGAAGACTTGATGAGCTCGGGGAGGACATTAAGGCCATCATTCATGAAAAAAGCAAAAGGTCACTAAAAAGACTGAAAAGAAAGACAAGATCAAAGTGGATGTCAGAAGAGACTCTGAAACTTGCTATTAATTGTAAAGTAGCTGAAGCAAAGTAAAGAAATGATGAAATCAAAGAGTTGAATAAAAAAACTCAAAGGGCAGCTCAACAAGACAGAACTAAATATTATAATGAAACATGCAAAGAGGAGACAAAGCCAAAAATTACAATAAAATGTGCAAAGATTTAGAATTAGAAAACCAAAAGCGAAGAGCAAGCTCCGCATCTCTTAAATGGAAAGAACTAAAGAAAAAATTTAAACTTCGAGTTGCAATATTGAAAGATTCTATGGGCAAAATATTGAATGATGCAGGAAGCACCCAAAGAAGATGGAAAAGAATACACAGAGCCACTGTACCAAAAAGAATTAGCGGACATTCCACTATCTCAGGAGGTAGCATATGAGCAAGAGCCAATGGTGCCGTAGGAAAAATCCCCATCTGCACTGAAGGCACGAGTCAAAACCGAGGCCCCAGGAATTGATGGTGTGCCAATTGCAATGTTCCAAGAGGGCATGAAGCACTGGAAGCATGCATTCGTCTATGAGAGGAAATTTTGATGACAGCTACTTGGCCAACTGACTGGAAGAGATCCATCCGTATTTGTACCCATTCCAAATAAAGGTGATCCAATAGAATGCTCAAGTTATAGAACAGTATTGTTGATAGCACATGCCAATAAAATTTTACTGAAGATCATGCAACAACAGTTGCAGTAGTACATTGACAGGGAGCTGCAAGAGTTTCAGGCTAGTTCACAAGAAGATGTGGAACAAAGGGTGTCAGATGGATTTTGGCTGAAAGCAGACACTATAAAAAAGATGTTTACTTGTGTTTTATTGACTATGCCAAGGCATTCTACTGTGTGGATCCTAACAAACCATAGATCATATTGAGTAGAATGGGAATTCTGGAACACTTCATTGTGCTCATGTGGAACTTGTTCCCGGATCAAGAGGCAGATGTGCGAAAGGTACAAGGGAACACTGCATGGTTTAAAATCAGGAAAGGTGTGCATCAGAGCTGTATCATCTCATCACACTTATTCAATCTGTGTGCTGAGCAAATATTCAGAGAAGCTGGTTTTTATGAAGAAGGATGCAGCACCAGGAATTGGAGGTAGGCTTATTAACTAGCTGGAATATGCAGATGACACACATTGCCTGCTAAACTTGAGGAGGACTTGAAGCACTTGCTGATGAAGATCAAAGATTGCAGCCTTCAGTGTGGATTACAACAAACTGTCAAGAAGACCCAAATCCTCACAATGGGACCAATAGGTAACATCATGATAAAAGGAGAAAAGGTGAAAATTGTCAAGGATTTTTGTCCTTTTTGGATATATAATCAAGGCTATGGAAGCAATAGTCAAGAGATCAAATGATGAGCAGCATTAGGTAAATCTGCTGCACAAGATCTTTTTAGAGTATTCCAAAGCAAGGATGTTTGTTACTTTGAGGACTAAGGTGGGCCTAACCCAAGCTATGGTATTTTCAATTGCCTCATTTGCATGTGAAGGTTGGACATTGAATACGTAAGACCAAAGAAGAATCGATGCATTTGAATTGTGGTGCTGGAGAGAATGCTGAAAATACCATGGACTGCTAAAAGGACACACTTATCTGTCTGTCATGGTCAGAGTGCTACTTAGAGGTGGAGACGGCAAGACTTGGGACATGCTGCCAGGTGAGACCTGTTCCTGGAGAAGGACATCCTGCTCGGCAAGGCAGAGGGACAGTGAGAAAGAAGAAGGCCCTCAAGGAGATGTGTTGCCACGGTGGCTGCAGCAATGAGCTCGTGCACAGGAGCGGTTCTGGGAGTGGCACCGGACCACACAGTGTTTTGTTCTGTTTTCTATGGGGTTGGAGCCAACTCGATAACACCCAGCAACAACAACAACTCTCCACTAACACAAAACACTTCACAGATTGACACTTTAAACTCAGCTTTGTTTTTGCGGTTTGTTATTTTAAATCTCAAACCAATCCACATGAGAGACAAAGCACACTAGTTCAATGATATGCGCACCAGTCAAACCACTTACGAAGAGGTACTATAGTGAGGAAACTAATGAGGGCTTACCGTCTCCAAAAATTCAACTTCTGTTTGGAGAGCTTCATAAATGCTTTTCATGTCCTCTTCTTCATACATTTCCAATTCTTTTTTAAGTCTGTTTCAGAGAGAACGTCATCATATCAGTGTAGTAGAAAACTAAACACTAGTTTAGTGATGATGCTCAAGTTTGCAACTTCTGTAATCAGAATGTTATGTGAAAAATAATTTGGTATAAAATTTTAATTCCTTTTGAGTCTTCCATATAAACATTTGAAAAACAAAACTTTCATGGATATAAACTACACTGAATAAATAACAGGCATTCAGTAATTTTAGGGCCATTGAAAGAGTAGCACACCCTAATGGTGGCAAATACTATATGATCAAAAATCTGAATTTCTCAACAAATAAGTTTGAGGGAGTGGAAGTGAGGGTATGCCTTCCACCTCAAAAGAGATTGAAAAAAATATACCAAGTGAATTGTTAAGTATGGAGCTTATCTAGAGCCAAACTCAAGATAACTAAACTATATATACAAAACTATTTCTTTTACACCTGGAGAGTGGAGGGAAGGTGGGGTAGAAAGGGGGAACCGATTACAAAGATCTACATATAACCTCCTCCCTGGGGGATGGACAACAGAAAAGTGGGTGAAGAGATGTCGGACAGTGTAAGACAGGGGCCCTCAAACTACAGCCCGCGGGCCACATGCATCCTGCCGATGACATTTATCCAGCCCGCCTGGGGTTTTTGCCCCGTTTGTTTTTTTACTTCAAAATAAGGTATGTGCAGTGTGCATAGGAATTTGTTCATAGTTTTTTAAAAAAAACTATAGTCCGGCCTTCCAACTGGTCTGAGGGACAGTGAACTGGCCCCCTGAGGACCCCTGGAGATATGACAAAATAATAATTTATAAATTATCAAGGGTTCATAAGGGGGGGGGGCTAGTGGAGAGGGAGGGGAAAAAATGAGGAGCTGATATCAAGGGGTCAAGTAGAAAGAAAACGTTTTGAGAATGATAATGGCAACAAATGTACAAATGTGCTTGACACAATGGATGGATATATGGAATGTGATAAGACTTACAGGAGCCCCAATAAAATGATTTACAAACAAAGCTATTTCTTTTATGAGTAATTGGAAATTTGAAGACTTATGGGCATTTGACATTATTTACTCATTGCTGTTAATTATTTTACATGTAATAATGATATTGTAGTTAAGATCTTATACAATTCTTAATTGATATAAAGATAATAAAATAATACGAGGCTTATTTTTGCTTCAAAAGGAAAAGTGAGTAGAGACAGATGAAACGAGGTAAGTCAAGAAATGGTAACTGTTACAGTTAGATATGGGGTACAAAATTAGTTAAGTCTGAAATACAAAATTCGGAACAGAAGATTAATGAAAATTTTATAATGTGCTAATGGGTGTAAATTAGGGTGATCATTTGGAAAACAGTTTGACATTATCTTGTAAAGTCCAACATTTCTAAGGTCTAGAAAGTAGCAATTCCAATAGCTGTATTTCCTAAAGAAACTGTCAGTCATGAGACCAGGATGTTCACAGCCACAGTGCTTAGGGTGACAACCCCCTGCCAACAACCGAAATGCCAGTCCAAATAGGAAAACTACCAACAGACCGACAACTGAGTCACTGTGCGATCGCTCGGCTGAGATCCCACTGCACAACACGAGTGAGTCGTGGAGACAATCAAGTCCCTAAGCCATTTGTATATCACAAATAAGGAAACGAGCCAATATATTGTTTGAGCATGACAACAATATATGTGAAATGGATTACATATAATAAATTATATAAACTTAAATAAATCATCTAATGTAGTAAAGTTTTTTTAAAGCAAATGACTAAAATAAGTCATGTCACACATACAAACAAGGAAATGAAACATAGAGCAGGCCAGTAATATATTCAGGGTAAGGAAGGGTGTAGGTGTAGGGGATAAAGGGAGGAGCCCATAGCTAATGCAAGGTAATGTTTTAGCTGGGTTCACAGGCGTTCATTATATTATTGTACTTCAAAACATATGCATACATATATGCATTATTTTTTGAGTCTCTGAGAAAGAAAAGCAATCTTTTCATTGGGAGGTATGGGGGAACAATTTTCTTATTATCTACAAAGTATATTATGTTCTGAACTTATAGGGATTTACTAGTAAATGGATATTCTGAAGAATCCTTCAATTAAGAAAGGCCTAACAAGGGATTCATTTTGAGTATTAGATTACCCAAGCATAAAACCCAGGTAAATATTTTTAAAGAGAAAGAATAAGATTAAATGCAGTTACAATATACTGTACACAATGTACTGCCATGTTTACACTTAAGGCTTCATTTGTTTTTCCAAGAAAACGACAAGGGTTTTTTTTCTCCCCGCACCAGCACCAACCCGTGGGACCACAGGTTCTCAGCTCGTTCACACCCATCTGAATTCGGTGGTGACCATTCTCCTTTATACTTAGTTAATAATAACAACGAGAGACTGCTGAAATTAAGGAGGGCACTTAGAGAAAATTATAGGAAGTATTTATCTATTCAGCATATAATAATCAAGCTGTATAATTTAGATCTGCACTTAAAGAAAAGATTGCTGTTTCTAGCTTTGAAAGAGGCTAGATGATAATGGCATGAATATTAATACATTTGCATCGAGGCAAAGCAATATAATGGTAAGCAGATCTCATGCTTCAGTGCATGGACTGATTACCTAACGGAATCAAGAAGGACTTTGCTTCTCTGCTGCACAAAAGTGAGGGCAGCTTGCACGGATTATTGCCACCTTTCTCCGAAGCATCAAATAATGGCCAGGCTGACCAACAGGGCTAATCACTCTAGCACAACTTACGTTCTATGTATTTCTATAATTACCTGTAGCATTCCAAAACTTAATTCCACTTCCCTCTTAGTGTCAAAGAGGTTCATCCACCCTCTTTTTTTTCAGGCTGTGGAACTACTACTTAAGTAGAAAGGAGGAAACATTTTACCTGAAGTCTTTCATCAAACACAAGAGCTGTTCAAATTTACAAGAACTTCATTTCAGTCTTTTGTTTCCATATAATTATGCTATATAGTATGTAATCTACAACCTTGCCTTCTATTTTTTCTTTTGGCTAATGCTACAGCATATACTGATCCCTATATATGAGGGGGTAACCTAAAAAGACCTAGAATTATGTTGGGCAGAGTGGAACTTTCATAGTACGCATTTCCCCCGCTACGCGAACACGAAGCAACTAGCTGAGTTTGTGCACCCAGTGGGAAGATACTCTCTGGTCACATTGAATTTTTTCACAAAAGCAGTTTCACTCGAACCTTGTTTTTTATGATGGCCGATTTAAAAGAACAACATTTGGCTGTGAAAATTTGCTTCCTGCTCGAGAAAAAGGCTGCAGAGGTTGTTGTGATGTTGAACACAGCTTACAAGGGCAGCACTGTGGGAGACTCAAGTGTACGAGCGGCTTTCTCAGTTCAGAAAAGACGAAATGTCAACTGGTGACAAACTTCGTTCTGGAGATGTCCACTTCCAAAAAGGACAAAAATGTCGATTCCTGGTGCGTGTGGAGTTTGTTCCACCAGGCCCTGAAAAGATTGTGTAACAGTGTGTGACCAAAAAAAGACCTGATTTGTGGCAGAAAAGGGGACTGGTTTTGCCACCACAGCAATGTACCTGGCCACACAGCCATCTCAGTGCGTCCGTTTTTTGGCAATGAACAGCATGCCTCTCTTGCTCCACACACCTGACTCATCTGACCTCACTCTGTAAAACTTCTTTTTGTTTCCACGAATGCAGAAGAACATGAAAGGATAGCGATTTGAGAACACAGAAAAGGGGTGGTGGTGGTGGAAATGAGGGAGATGCTGTCAGCCATCCAAACAGATGAGTTTGAAAATGTTTCCAAGAATGGAATTGCAGATTTGACAAATATATTAAGTGTACTAGAGAGTACTTTGAAGGTGATAAGGTTGTTTTGTAAAAAAATTAAATAGATAACTTTGAAAAAAAAATCTGAGGTTTTTTGGGGGCGGGGGGTACCCCCTTGTATGCTGTGGTTTATAAGAACTCTGTCTTATTTATCTTGATATCCTCAGCAGTTAGTACACTGCATGGCACAAATAATGTGTTTGGTATGTTTGTGAGATAAAATACATGAATGAAAAGGTACTGATTTTAGGTGTTTTTTTTTTAATCAGTTATTATTTAATGAACTGTTACCTCTTATTTCTTATATTTATTTTAACTTTCCCCTAGCTTACCAGTCTATGTTGATGACTTTTTTTGGACACATGGAATTTAATATTTTATTTACCACATCTGTTAATTTTATCCTTTTTCTGTTTTCTTAGTGACTCTAAACGTTTAATTAATCATTTCTAGCTTCCTCTAGTTTTGAATTAGATTAATTGACTTTTCTATGCTATTACTTCATATGAAAATCATTTTAGTACCATTAAAGCATAAAATTACTATTTTAAAGATCATGTAAGTGGTTCTCTTTCATATATAATTTAGTCTGGATTAAGGACTTGAAAGTTGAATTGTGAAAGCTAAATACCCATTTTCTAATTATGCCTTCCTCAGCCCAGGCCAGGAGTCCTGGTGGCACAGTGGTTCGATGCTGGGCTGTAAACCCGCCAGTCGACAGGCAAGAACCATGGGCTGACCAGAGGCAATAGCTGAGGTGTAGAAGGGGAGGGAGGGATCCTATAGCAACTCCTGAGCTGGTTATGATAGGTATTATCTTTTCACCATCCATTTTCTCTCTGCCTTTCCTAACCCTTGAAGAGATGTTTATTAAGGAGGGGAAACAAAGAAAGAGAAATAAACACCCCCCTTAAAAAAAACAAAACAAAACGATATTATGCTTTCAAATGTACTAATCAATTTGGAATATTATCACTGAAATAACATATATGTTACTATTAGGTGTCATGCTGGTTCCGACCCACCGCCACCCTGTGCACAACAGAAGGAAACAGTGCCCGGCCCCATGCCACCCTTACAACTCTTCCTATTCTCGAGTCCACTGCAGCAGTGGTGTCAGTCCATCTCCTTGGGAGCCTTCCCATCCACTGCTGAGTCTGTTTTACC